CCTTTCTTCGAGTAATAGTATTTTGGCTTGGCTTTTGCTCATGCATTTGGCCAATCAGCTGGAGCCTAACTAGCTTTCTTTTAATTACTTGGTATTTTGGCAAACGACCTCACTGCTCTTTGCTCCAGATGAAGATGAACTGGCCTTTTCTTAAGTTGAAACCTGGATGATCCTTCTCAAAATTTTTTGCAGCATAGCATATTGGTTCTCTTAGTGCAATTGGGTTAGCATTTTCTCTTCACGCTAGTCCTTACAAATAATTTTTATGAAGCCAATCTATGTCTATATTTGGGGACACATCTCTCTGTCATGGGCAACTAAGCAATATCATTTGGTCCTTCAAATCACATGTTCTATGCTATCATCACTAATATTGCACTCTTTGCTTTCTTTATGTTACTTAGACTTAGAAAATATAGCTTTTAATTGGCATCTTTTGAAAGCTGCCCAGATTGGCTCCGAGAGCAATACAGTTGCTCTCTTTTGAATGCTTCATATTTTCAAATTTTTTGTGGCTTAAAAATGAAATTTTGTTTTTAGGACTTTCGATTTTTCAAAATTTTCGCGGCTGGATAGCTCTTCATTTTGGTCATTCTCTACACATTTCAAAATTACAAATAGAAATTTTAATATGTATATGATTTTTCTTGGGATAGGTTTTACAATTTTCAATTAGGAATCTGTATATATATGTTTTTCTCAAATATATATCCACATCACCTACTTTTTTGAAGTAACTCTAGCCTGTTTTGTTTTTCTGCTTGCTCTTCTTCAGGCTCTCTTCATAGTTGCTAATCTTTCCAACAGGGCAATTACTATCCGGGATCCTAAAGCACAGAGTCAATCTCCATAACAGCACAGCTCCAATGACGCCACTTTAATCGATGTGTTCCGAGAAGGGCTGTGAATTTAGCTCGAAGATCATTAATAGCTCCAAAATTGATTTAAATTTTAGCTTGGATTGAAGTGAGAACGAAATAAACGAGTCAAGCTCATTTTGAGCCAATTTCGAGCCATGTGTCACCTCCCAAAAGAGCCCTTATGGGTGGTGGGCAGCCCAGGACTTAAATACTGTTTTTCGGCCCTACACCTAGCCAATGTGGGACTATTTGTCCGTGACATTCTCCTCCACCCAATCACGTGACGCCCTCGTCACGGATCGGCTCCACCGAAGGTCCCACTGGACCATGGAGAGTCCACACAATTAGCAGGCAGTAATCTGCTTTGATACCACTTGTCACCTCCCAAAAGAGCCCTTATGGGTGGTGGGCAGCCCAGGACTTAAATACTGCTTTTCAGCCCTACACCTAGCCAATGTGGGACTATTTGTCCGTGACACATGGCTCACAAACTGGTTCAAGATTAGTTTAAACTATATATTTTTTTATAAATATTATTAATAAAAATATTAACAAGCAACGAGCTGATTTCGAGCTGAAAAAGATCCAAATAACTCAATTTGAGGCATCTCGTTTCGATTTCGAACCGGATCAAACCGATTCCAAGCTGAACAGTTCCAAAAAAACTCAAATTTGGGCAAACTCATTTTGATTTCGATATGGATCGAGCTAGATTAAATTTTCGCGACGAGTTGGCTCAAAATTAAACATGACAAGCTATGAACCGATTTCAATCCGAACTCAATCCATTCGAGCCGGCCCCACCTCAGCTCGAAATCGGCTCGTTACTAGCCCTAGTTTCGAGTCATCTTCATAGTATGCCCATTTTCTTCTCCTATTTCCTGCTTATTACAACTTTTCATTCATTATACTATTTTATCGTGTAATCAACTTTTCCTTGTAATGCAATTACTCAGCTAGGCCCTCTATCCCACCCTTCCCAAATAAAAGAAAAATACCAAATGAAGCTCAATCATGCTTTATCATTCCCTCTCTATAAAAAAATTAATACATGAAGTCCGCATGTATGCGAACTCTGTATCCGACAGTGTACCATAAGTTATACACGAAGTACTCTCAGAGTCTGCATGCACACCGACTTCATACTTAAGATGCTCTCCTCTCCATATAATTATTTTTGCACTTAAGACTTTCACTATTGGGGAGATAATGAATGACAACACTAATTATTACCCTATGATTCCTCTGGCCGTTATTTCTAACACACTGCTCAACGCGGACAAAGGCAAAGGCCAACAGTCTCTTAGAAAGTCCTCTTTCACCCATCTGAGACCACTAAGATAAAGCATGGCTTCCGGGACCATCGCTCCCCACCTATTCAGGAATCCAAGGCCTCGGGAAATAGCAAAGTAGCCGTAAAAAAGGCTCATTTTTTTCTTATCTATTTCACATTTCTAAAAATCATACTCATAAAACCATTTTGGTTAATTATATTTCATAAATCATCACTTCTCATTTATTAAAGCTTAGAATTACATCAAGAAATGCTGCTCCTAACAGTTTCTCTGATGTAATATAAGTATTATACAATCGTTTATTTATAATTTTATCCAAGTTTCTCATTTCTATCACAAAACTGCACTCTTTATGCTTCTGATGCAAATTTTATACATATATGAAATCAAAACAAAATGTTCTGAAAAAACAAAGGCAATTAAGGCATTATAGTAAGGAAAGAACTGACATTTATAAGAGCCATTGCTTCCTGTAAATTGATGAGAAGAGATGCGTTTACATATTGGTGCTTCTGAGGAAGATTGCCAATTTAATTTGAATCTGGATTTGGGCCACGAGGGACTTCATGTTTACTGGCTTGGAAGTCACTGAAAGAGCTGTGGCTTTGTTGGGGAGGAAACCTCGTGGACCGGAAGGTTGAGGAAGATGATGAGAGCTGTTGAGTGCTGTCGGAGGGAGATGTTGTTGAGAGCTTCGGTTGTACGGTTGAGCAAACAGAGAGGAGAAAGGTAAGGAGGAGGAAGAAGAAAAAGAGCTTCATGTGGGATGGGGAGGTGGCTTTAAGAAACTAGCAGAGGGAATGTTGATGATGGGAGGGAAATATTTAAAGGTGGAGAACTTATTTGGAGTATCTGAATATGTACATATGCAGCTATGCAGGGTGTAAACTAGTTGTATACATGCCTCGCACTTTTTATTTATTTATAAATGTAAAACGCAAAGTTCGATGTTTTAACATTTTGGTTTCAGGAACCGATACATGAAAATGTGTATTTCACTTTTTAAATAATAGTGATGATGGTATTTTTGACGTGGTATTAAAAATTTGAGTGATATGCTTGTGAATACGAATATTTAGTTTTTAGATATGTGAATATATAAGAATTGTGTGGCATGTGTGTAATGTCATTTCTAAGTACACAACAAGTACATAATACAAATTATTTTTTTCTAGCTCTAAACCCTAGTGAGCAGTCGAATGTGATACCTTTATGTTCTATATTTTGTTTCCAACAAATATACTAACTATTTGCTCACTATGCGTCAGGCAATTGTTTACCTAAAAACATGAAATGTACAGGGAGATCACAACTATATATTTCTATATTCCACATGTAGAGTTATGTTTATTTGTCCACATCCAATATATATATGTATCTATATATTTGTGTATTTGTGTGTGTGTGTGTGTGTGCAGCGTTCCCAGACTCTTTGGTTGACACCTGTTATGTCAATTTTAAGTACTCTGAGGTCGGGGATTCGTCAAGTGGTTAAGCACATTAGATTGATTGGGGGCTCGTATCATAGCCTCTAGTCAATCTTTTAATATATATTGGTTACCAATATGAATAAGAAGATAAATTATTAGTTACCAATATGATTAACAACTTAACTTTGCCTATTGATCAGTGATTTTTAATCACAATATTTGATTTATTTTTTTGGAAGTTAAGCCTTGATGTCACATAAATTAGTGAGCATCGATAAGCATGAGTTCCAAATCTTGATTTCTAGTTAAAGAGAGAATCCTTTATCAACTTCTATACATTTGGAGCACTAAAATGAACTTTAAAATGAAAGTGTTTGTTTTTTTTTTCTTTTCAGGAAACTTTAAAATGAAAGTTGGCTTTTACATATCCTTTATTCTTATCATGGATGCATTTTTTGAGCCCAGCCAGACCACTCTCGGAGAAAGGAGAAAGGAGAAAGTAGAAATTAGAAGAAAAGGTGAAGCGTGACTGGATTTGGCATGTGTACAATGGCTGATTACTTTATCTGAGCTAATAGTGAAAGGAGCTAGTGCTTTTCAGAAGGCTTCACGGGATATGTAATATGGTCGGTCTATAAGCATATTTAGGCTGCGTTTTGGCTGCAGCCTTAATTTAGGTTAAGTAGAATTTATCAAATTCATCAAATCAGATAGGCAGTGCATTCGACAGAGATTAACTCTCTAGTGAAGGTAGGAAGAAATTCTTAAATCCGTCTCGCAATTTGGATTTACAAAATCCATATTTACATCCTAAAAGAGAGGAACGTGGGAAGAAAAGATGGAACGTGAAAAATTGTGATATAATGGAGCATTGGATTTATTTTTTATTTTTTTGTGTTTGGCTGGATTTACTCTAAATTTTTTATTAAATTATCTTTAAGTCATGTTACCAAACACGGCCTTAAATGGATTATTGATCATATTATTGTTGTGATTATTGAATCTAGTTTTCTGCTCTATCCACTACAGGAGTTTACTCACAATACTTTAAATGGAGAATAGGAAGAAAAAGATAGGAACTGAGACAAAAACAATCGAATCAAATAGAATTCCCTCCCTCCCTGTGATCTTAGAAAATATTGTGTCCGGAGTCCGGACGAGAGCTGCGTCCAGACAACCGACGTGATACAACGGAAGTCTGAGCTCCCGCTCCGCTCTGTTATATCACGTCCGTTGTCCGGACGCAATATTTTTTCTTGTGATCTCTCTCTCTTATTTTTGTCTTCTCATTAGCCTTATGAAAGACTTACAAGAGTAGCATCTGCATGCTGTCCAATTCATCGTTTATATATATATATATTATATATATATATATATATATATATATATATACCTTGAAGCAAACTTACGTGATACGGGAGATAGAGAGCTTTGATGGACTTCACTATAACCCGAGAATAACTCGCTAGTGAAGGTATTAAATGTCAAAGGAGATTAAAACAATTGGATTTGGCGGATTCCTGGATGGTACTATGCCAAAACCCCCCCATCTTCATCACTGATAGCACTGGTAATTTCTCTGTCAAGCCAAATTACAGCACATGGAATCTCATTGACCAAAATCTGGCCGCCGCAATACTATGCACCATCTCTCCAACTGTGTTGCCTTATATTATCAACCTACAGCTGCAATGAAATTTGGAAAGCACTTGACAACGTCTTCAAGGCACAAACAGATCCCGAGCAATCTAGCTTAAAGACGAGCTTCACAATGTAGTCATGGGCAATCAAACAATGACACAGTATCATACTCAAATCAAGATACTAGTTGACACAATCGCAGCAGCTAGATCGTCAATTGATACATTGTCAAAGGATTACCTGCAGCTTAACAATCCTTCAAGGCAGCAATTAGAACCTCCATCACTCCTATAAGCCTCGAGAATCAATATTCCTTGCTCTATAGCGAGGAAATTAATCTCGCTAGCGGCAATCCCGACAAAATTCCAGCAACTGATCAACACCTTGCTCTCTCCTTGCAGCGAGGAAGGGGTCGTTCCAGCTACAAAGGCAGACGACGAAGCAATAATGCATCCGAGCTTGATGCTCTCCAAAAACAAAACACATGGATTTTCGTGCCTCCCCCATCTAATCAATCCATCTTGCGCAGCAAGTGGACCTATAAAATAAAGCACCAATCTGATGAAACAATTTCTAAATACAAAGTGCGTTAGTCTCTCAAGAATACAAACAAGAATTTGGCTTGCACTACAGCAAGACATTCAGTCCCGTGGCTAAACACAGCCATTCGAACTCTTTTGAAAATTTGAATTAATCGAACCTGGCCCATCTTCCAACTGGATGTCATTGTTTTCTCTGATTTTTTTCAAGACACTGAATCGTCAGCTTGTCTATTTATATGTCGTTATATAATTTGGTTATTCAAAAAAATCTCACTCCCGAATCATAGCAAATATTCAAAAATGAGAAGAATCGAAAAAATGATATACGACAATGAATAAGCAAACAAATAAAAATAAACAGACGAAATGTTGATATAAGGGTAATCTCCATGTGATGGGTCAAGAATATACGTCCGAACATGATCAAATCAAAGTACAAACATAACATCCACGAAGAGAATCCATGTATAAACCACTAGTAACCAGAAAACCAAAAAGAATATTTTTTTTTCTTGGGTCAAGAGTCTCCAGAGGAATATATCCCGCTGGTTAATTACAAAATACCCTCGATAAAAGAAATTTCGTTTATATTATTATGAACCTGAAGAATAGGTCATGATAGTTATTTTGTATCGGAATACATCGATGTTTCAAAGCTCTCGCTAAGTCATAGGGAAGAGAAAAATTCTATCACATCCCAAAAGGATTGCGACTCGTAGACATGAAAATCTACAAAATAATCAAAATCATCTCGACGGTGATATCCCTATACGTCATAACTCATCGGTTCATAAGATTAGAGGGTGAATCATCACATCCCAAATGGGGGGCAATTCATCGTAATCGGGTCACCAAGATGATATCAAAGAAGTTAAAAGACCGACAGGGCTCAAAGGGGCTCAGTAAGATGAAGGGTTGAGTTATCCTAAAAAGTAGAAGTAGTTGGGTTGGGGTGTCACGGACCCGTCATCCCAAGCTATTAGGACACTGAGTCTACCTGATCGAGAAAGTAGTCGACCAAACACATCCAAAGATCCCCGATCAGCAATTCATGTCGGCCACAGGAACTTCGGTATACCTAAGGTCAAATTAAGGAAACTCTATCCTATAACTATACGGTGAAGCTCCAAGAGATGAGACTTATACCCGCCGAAGTAGCGTAGATGTCATTGGAAATAAAGGAAAGAAAAGGTCTAACTACAAAATTGAAGCACTCTCCACGAAAGGACTTGCACCTATCTTGATCGGGAGCCTTCTAAGACCTTAAATGCACAAGACAACCACCTAAATAGAAATTTATGTTGAGCAAGTCAGGTTGAAGAAGCGCAGAGGCTTTTCTTCAGGACATGCAAATATGATGCAGTTATCTACCATAATTTTAAGCGTGGATACACTATTAATTATGATTTGAGTGATAATCAAGCATGTAACTCATTTAAAGTCGGGCTCGACGGCCAAGCAGAAAAATAAAAGTGCGAATTTAAAAGCTCTGAATATTTTAATCCTGAAATTTTATTAGAATTTTGTAGCAAATTTATAATTTTAAATCCTAAATAACTTATATTGTATTCATGATTCTCAAACAAATCATAGAAAGAAACAATGAAATTCATTTTAAGCATGCAAATATGTAATAGAAAACAATAAAACAAGCCAAATCAAAATAATAAGAAAAGATTGGTGTCGCTGAATCGACAACATATCCCAAATAATAAAAAGAGTGATCGGACTCTGCATATACATGTTTGGTTCTAATTTTATACATCAATATCAAATGTGAAATTAAATTACGGGACACAAGCTGCTGCTCCTAAACTCCAGCCACCTGGTTCTCGCGCCAAAATGCCTCGGAATTCGTGCTTGTATCTTATTTTCTCTACAGAACTCTTCCAGGGAATTTAAAAAATACAAATAAAAATAAAATGACTCGACCTAAATGAAAAAATGTTAGCACAGAAAGGTACCGTGTTTGTGACATGTCTAGGGGTAGAGTTAAGTAGCACCAGCAACCAAAAGTTAGAATGTAAATCATCACATGCTCCCTATTTTTATTATATTTGTGTGTGTGCATACATATGACATTGCTTCCTGTAGAAAACCGACCTATTATACTATCATGCAAATAAAAAATCAGCACACAAGCACGCCAGAAGCACAAAAGTGACACTTGGCTAGAACAAACAAACCAACAGAGAACTATAGTCAGATGCATCGAAAATACTAACTAGCATGCAAGTCCTAGCCTAGCACGCCACCTAACAAAAAGTGTCATAACCAGCATCTAAGTGCTCAGAGTAAAGTCTCCAGTTACCGTATGACTTTGACAGGGTCGCGACACCGACCCCGTCCTAAGATCCAAGGGATCTAAAATACATCACGAGAAATTGGTGACATTTATAAGAAATTGTTTCATATAAAGCCTAAAATATATAAATCTTAGAGTATTTTGGATAATATTTATAGTACAAAAATATCTATTTTTTATATTTTAAAATAGCGGACCATAAAATGCAGGTATGTGATGCATGTGACGTACTTTAGAGCCTTTGGATCTCTAGCACAGTCATACAGTTTATCGTACAGAAACTCGCATTGCTTATCAATATATCCTTGCGGTCAATGCTTGTTTGAGTATCATGACCAACAAGTGGTCGCTCTCCTAACTGGTAGGACTAGCATCAAAGTGAATGAGCAAACAAATAAATATGCAAAAGGCCAACATTGTGATTATTCAACTGAGCACAAAATCATCACAAAGGGCGCCAAAGCTGAAGCACGCATCATGCAAATGAATACAAGGATGTCTACATGCAACATGATACACAAACGGAATGTATCGGTAAAAAAAACTACCAATGAAAAGGAATTACACCTTCCCGCAGACACCGAATACGAATGAGTTTGCATCAAGTGAAGCGATACCTATAATGATGATTTATACATTGAGAGACACTCACCGAGCACACATGCAAACATGTAAGATATGCAACAAGACAAATGAGATAAGTTAAGCATACAGAAATGCAACAAACATATGAGAAATATCACATATGACATGCGAATGACACTAAAATGACAAACATGCAAAGATGCAAAATGTCAAACATACTAAGTCATGTGATTTATACGAGTGGAAATTACATACATAGGTGGACACATATTTTGTCTCGTACGAGTTCATCGCCTGGGAAGCATAACTCATATTCAACACAATGTGAAATGTCCCACGACACCGTGAGCGATGTTGTGGGGAAGGAGACATGTGGCTATACATGTCAGCTAACTCCTAATGCGTGCAAGTGTTTGTCCCCTTACAAACAACATCGTATGTGGAGAATGCGCTTACAAGTGTTGGTGCTCAAAGAGACACCACAAGCATGAATGTTCAAAAAGACATTCAAACATGTCGCATGCAAAGCAAACAAGTCAAAAATATTTTACATGTAATGAAATAAATTATAGACATCAGGTCAAAAAGATTTTCGCACATGCCAAGAAAACATGCAACACACACGAAAGTATACAAACATGCAAGTAATCAGTTGATGAAGTCATGGAGGCTTGCGAATCAAAAAGTGAGTCGATCAATATGGGATGATCGATCGGACCCAAAAGAGTAGGTGATCGAATCAGGGTGTCAATCAAACCCAAAGTGGTTGATCGACGTGGTCGAAACCAAAAGATAATGGACAGGAGCGGTTGATCAAACCCAAAGTGATCGGTTGATCGATTTATAGCGATCGATCGAACCGAAGTGATTATTGGTTGATCGATGTGGTCGAAACCAAAAGATATCGGATAGGAGCGGTCGATCAAACACAAAGTGATCAGACCGAAGCGATTAGGTGATTGGATCGAGCGGTTGATCGTGTCATAGCGGTAGATCGAACCGAAGTGATTAGGTGATCAAATCAGAGCAGTCGATCGAACCCAAAAGATAGGGTGATCGGATCGAAGCGACCGATCAAATTCCAAGTGATCAATCAATCGTGTCGGGGCGCTCTATTGAACTGAAATGATCGGGCGATCGAACTGGAGCAGTGGATTGAACCCAGCAAATGGAGTGATCGGGTAGGAGCAGGCGATCAACTCAATCGATCAATCATGTCGGGGCGGGTGATCGAACCGAAGTGATTGGGTGATCGGACTGAAGCGGTCGATTGAACCCAACATATAGGGTGATTGGACTCGAGCGGCCGATCCAACCTAATGTAATCGTTCGATCATGTTGAGACGGCCGATCAAACGGCGTCAATCGAACCGAAAGTGATCACGCAATCAACATTAAATACACAAAATGTTACAGATGAGCATGCAAGCAATGCAACCCAAAATACTTCGACGACACGTCAAACTTATCTTATCAGACTTGCATAGGTACCAAGGGTGGGGTTTTCACGTTTTGATATGTGGCATAACCGCCTCCAACTGTAGAGAGCAGGAGCGGGGAATTTTCCCTCGTGTTTGCTCGAATGAACAGTTATTCGTCTCTTGCAAAATGAACTAGCAACAATTTTTTTTCCGTTTTGCAAGTGAAATATTTCAATCCCTCCACAGAATATAGGATACCGCTACAGCCGTGGGAAATTGGGATTCTAACCTGCTCATGTTGGGGCTAAAGTATACAAGGAGACACCATTGGCTTCGCTAGGGATTTGGCCACAAATGTGCTTCCTAACCTAAAGTTTCTTCTATGAAATAAATGGTCAATCAATAGGCGTATGACCGCGCCGACTAGTGTCAGCCACCAACTTGCCTAGTGTGGGCAACCAAACCCGCGACGACGCCACAAATCAATAGGTGTATGGCCGGTCGGACCGGTATCGCTCGGCCTATCAGACTGTCTGATAACTGTCGATTGAGTCGAGCAATACCGATTAACCAACAGACTCGCCTAGTGTGAGCGACCATGCCCACAACATCTGGAAAAATCTAATTTTATGGCTGACTAAGAAAGAAAATGCAAGGGGTTTTCTCAGAATCTCGCCAATGCGGAGATTGAGCATGTATCTTCGATAAATGATTATCGAATGCAAGATGACTGATACATACCTTTGGAGTTGCTCAAATCGAAGGATGCCAGAATTTATCCCGCAAGGCATCTCGAAGCTCTTGCATGAGGATTCGACGCAACTCACACGTTGTTCACGAACAGCTCGTTGTTCACGAACAGCTCGTGTTCGGCTCGTTAAGTAGCTCGTGTTCGGCTCTTTCGTTAAGTAAAGGAGCCGAACACGAAGAAAAACGAGCCGAACACGAACAACAGTTTGTTCGCTCGTGTTTGGCTCAAAATGGCTCAAAAAAAAAATTTATATAACTTTTTTATATAACAATATATTACATATATTATTTATATAATAATATATTATTTATATTTATGTCTATGTTTAAATCATAACACCTCATGTGACAATGTGGTTAGTATATTCTTTTGTTTATATTTTGTACAGATTTGAATCTCACACTTGACATCTATTTTTCTCAATTTAATTTTAACGAGCCAATTTCGAGCCAAACACGAATACACTGTTCCCGAGTCAATTTCGAACACGAGCCGATTTCGAACAACACGAGCTATTTCAAACGAGCCCAACACGAGCCCAGCCTGAGCTACCTCAAGCTCGGCTCGTTTACTGCCCTAGATGCAACGAGCTCATCTACATTGTTCCCCAATAATAGAAAAAATCACAATAAATCATTAGCATTTTTCCAAGTGCTTCAAATAACAAAAGATCCACACTTGTTTACAAATCACAAAAGATTTTCACTTTTATGCTTGCAAATCACAAAAGATCCAACTTGCTTGCATCTATGAAACGAAATCCTTGCATTTTGCAATAGATTTGGAGCAGCATTTTACCTACATTTACCTCACTCCAAGATTTCGGGTAGGAGCAGTGCCGAAGGAGAAGATAGATGGGAGTTTCGGCCTTTGTATGAGGGATCCAGCGCTAGGTCATCACAATATAGCGCTAACGTGGGAGAACGGCGGCTGTTTGGGCTCGCCGAGGTGACGAAAGGAGGCTGCCGGTGGACCGCCGCCGGGCAGGCCGCCGAAGCGCCGGATGGAGCGCCAGCCGAAGCTTGGGAGAGCGGCACGCGATCTCGGGCCGAGAAGAGGACTGTGCGGTCGGCCTAATGTGGGTGGTGCCGGAGTGGGGGAGGCCGCCGGCGCGGGGATCCGGCCCATGAGAAAAAATATTGCCCAACTGATCCGCACACAATATTCTCTCCTTCCCTTTTTTTTTTTTTGGGCTGTGAATGAATTTATCCTTTATATATATATA